TTGTGAAGGTACATCATCACTTTGACGCATCGCAGCCGCCCCGAATCGTCCGGCAAGATCGTACATGGCTGATCCAGCTGCCATTCGCCCACACAGTCGCTCTTGACGGGGGGAGGAGGGGGTATGGACGACAAGGGAGGAGGCGGGGCACCCACTGCACAGAGCAATCAGTAAATCGACCAAATAAATCCAGGCAGGCACCCAGAAAGAAAGACAGGCAACAGACAGACAGACAGACAGACAACAGTAGTGAGTGAGTGAGTGAATGCATGGCATGGTTGGCATCCTCCTTCGTCCCACAACCGTGGATATATAAATCAATCAATGTGCCTACTTCAACAGACAGGGTACGGTATGTACCTGGTGGACACTCCTTGTCACTGCATTCTTGTGTCTCTGTAGCGCCGTGGGCTTTCTCGCATGGCCTCGCCTTGCTGCCGATCGGCTCTTGCTCGTGCACATACATCATAGTACGCACGCACTGCTGGTCGCCTTCGCGGTGGTGGCAGGCCTGCTCAACGCACCACTGCCCGCGACAGTCGACTGTTGTCTCAGGCAGTGGTGGCAGCGGATGAGCGGCGGGAGGGGGCAGCGGCAGTTTGGCCTCTTTTCTGCCGCACTCGGTCTCCTCGCATTCCCTGGTTTCCCTCGCGCCATGTTCCCTCTCACATGGTTGGCCCCCTCCAACCTTGGAGCGCTTGTGAAGGTACATCATCACTTTGACGCATCGCAGCCGCCCCGAATCGTCCGGCAAGATCGTACATGGCTGATCCAGCTGCCATTCGCCCACACAGTCGCTCTTGACGGGGGGAGGAGGGGGTATGGACGACAAGGGAGGAGGCGGGGCACCCACTGCACAGAGCAATCAGTAAATCGACCAAATAAATCCAGGCAGGCACCCAGAAAGAAAGACAGGCAACAGACAGACAGACAGACAGACAACAGTAGTGAGTGAGTGCATGGCATGGTTGGCATCCTTTTTCGTCCCATAACCGTGGATATATAAATCAATCAATGTGCTTACTTCAACAGACAGGGTACGGTACGTACCTGGTGGACACTCCTTGTCACTGCATTCTTGTGTCTCTGTAGCGCCGTGGGCTTTCTCGCATGGCCTCGCCTTGCTGCCGATCGGCTCTTGCTCGTGCACATACATCATAGTACGCACGCACTGCTGGTCGCCTTCGCGGTGGTGGCAGGCCTGCTCAACGCACCACTGCCCGCGACAGTCGACTGTTGTCTCAGGCAGTGGTGGCAGCGGATGAGCGGCGGGAGGGGGCAGC